GAGAGAGAGAGAGAGAGAGAGAGAGAGAGAGAGAGAGAGAGAGAGAGAGAGAGAGAGAGAGAGAGAGAGAGAGAGAGAGAGAGAGAGATGTACTTGATACCGTTCCAAAGACGTGGGCTTTGAAGAAAGAAACAGCAGATCTGAAGGGTATCGTTGCCAGTATAGGGGACGATATGCTGCGATGGCTTTTTATCCGAAATAAATGCACCCGGCTCTGTTTACGCTCAGGTACTTGCTTACAGTAGCGATCGCGTACCTGAAGTCCGATAAATGGCAATGGGGGGCATATCGCCCCACGACATGCACCTGACTGTCTTCTCGTTCAGGAACATTCTGACCGTGACGATCCGACAAATTACTGATACTGGTTTTCTCGCATTTCCTACGCTTATTCCCGACGCCCCCCTTCTCCCTCCTCCCCCTCTTCCTCCTCCTCCTCCTCCTCCTCCCCCTGCTCCCCTGCTACCTGCAATTCCGTCTTACAATATCCTTTCCGAAATAAACGAAGTCCAACGGGCGATCGTCGCCGAGCTCTTCACGATCACCAATGGGCATAGACGAATTGTTGAAATACGAACCCGAGTTCGAATCCAGCTGCAGCTCCCCGACGATGAATGGAATTTGTGAATTACCTGGGGGGGGGGAGGAGGGGCCGGGTTAGTCCGACGATGATATCATATCTCAAGGCCCTCGCTCTTTCCTTTTCTATAAGAAAAGAAGAAAAATAACTGCAGAACTAAGTCCATCCATTCGATCCGTCGTCCTCCGTCTTCCACGTTCCCAAGCTCGATCAAGTCCATCCGGTCGATCTGTGTCCAAGAATCTGGCGATCGATCAACGAAGGCCATCAGGCATGAGATTTGCATCGTCGCCGTCCCTCCCAARCGATCGATCAAGGCAGGCCATTCGATCATTATCATTGATGCTCCCAACGCATTAAAATCAATCAATCCAGTCCATCCGATCACGGCCATCACCATATCACGATCAAGGAAAGGCCATAACAGTGATCGTCCTCGTCGTCGATGTTCCAAAGATAGATCAAGTCCATCCCCCGACCCATCGTCGTCGAAGCTCTCACTACCTATCATGGCCATTCGATCGTCGACGCCGGAGTTCTCGACGATCAATCAAGGCCATTCATGTTCGATCGTCGTTCATCCAATGGTCTTCCTTGATCAACCCAGCGCCATCCGATCACCGTCATCACCATCAGCATCAAACTCCATTTTCATCACTTTTGTCGTTTTCTGTAGCGATGGTGATGTCGGTGATCGAATAGACTCCTTCGTTGATTAATACAGTAATAATCACCATGATCATCGAGCATCGAGCTCCGAGCGATGGCGATGGCGATGGCGATAGCGGTGATCGGATGGACCTGGTTGATCGAAAGGCAGACCGACCATTGGATGATCCTCGCCGTCGAAGTTGTCACGATCAAGAAAGGTCATTCTTTCGATGATCCTCGTCCAGGCTCTCACAAGTACCTGAGAGTGCAAAGAATTTATGTTAAAAAAAAATAGGTCGAAATTCAATTTAGTAGTTTCTCTGATTAGATTATTATTACTGTAATAGTAAAACAGATTAGCAGTCGGTAAAAGGATTCGACCAAGGCCAAGGCCATTCGATCGATCATGGTCGTTGAGGTTCCCAACGATCGATCCATCCCATCAGATCAAGGCCATTTGATCGCCGCCATGGTCGAAGATCGGCATCGCCATCAAACTCCCACGATTAACAAAGGCTATTCGATCTCCATCGTCGTTCAAGAGTTTTCTCAATGAATGGAGGAAAGCCATTGGATCTCCATCGTCGTCGTCGTGACGATATTCCCAGGATCAATCAATCTAAGGCCATTCATTCATTCAATTAGGATCTTGATTGATTGATTGATTGACATTGATTGATTGATTGATTGATTGATATTGATTGATTGATATTGATTGATTGATAATGATTGCTTGATTGTTTGATTGATTGATTGATTGATTGATTGAAGACAGAAGGGGGGCTGTTCATTCATTCATTCATTCATTTATTCAATCCCAGGGTCAATCAATCTTAAGGCCATTCATTCATTCATTCATTCATTCATTCATTCATTCATTCATTTATTCCATTATTCGTCATGTCCTCGGCATCTTTGATTGATTGATTGATTGATTGATTGATTGATTCGATTGATTCGATTGATTGATTGATTGATTAATTGATTGATTGATTGATTGATTGATCGAAGATAGATGTGGAAAGCTGTCAGGCGGTGAATTACTTTCCGCATATCAGGGCGGTTCACCTGCGATCATATCGTCGGCGAAGTTTTCTCATTGCGGAAAAGAAGTCTCCACACGATCGAAGCGATCAAATGCCTGGACGAAGTTTCCCGTTACGTGGAAGGAAGTTTCCCTTTACGTGGACGGAAGTTTCCCATGAACGCCATTACGTGGACGGAAGTTTCCGATTACGCGGAGCGGGACGAAGTTTCTCAGTATGTGGGCGAAGTTTCAAAAAGAAGAAAAGCACGCTTCTCAGAAAACGACGCACATTCATTCCCCTAGCCGTTTTTCTTCGAATGGCCGCGTACATTCCCCTAACCACCCCGAGTTCGTCTTGGGCTTGCAGCCCACCTCTCCTACCTCCTACCTCGTAGCTGTCTCCTTTCTCCTCTCTCCTACCTTCCTCCTCCCTCCTCCCTCCTCCCTCCTCCCTCCTACCACCCTACC